CCCGTCCCATCCTCTGAGCCCCTCTCATCCCTACCCCGATCCTCTGAGCCCCTTCACACTCCCCCTCCACCCCCGCGCCTCTCACCTCCCGTTCCAGCGGCCAGGCCTCGCCGCCCCGGGAAGTGATTCCTCCCAGCGCCGCAGGAAGCGCTTCCTCTCTCCGCTCCCGTAGCAACCAGCTCCGGGCCGGCGTTGCTAGGGACCTCCCACACCCCGCCGCGCCTAGAGGGGGCGGGGCAGGGCACATGTGACCCCCCCCCCCGCGTGCATTGGCATTTACCCCCGTTGTGCCCCCACCTGAGCGCTGGGGCCGCCTGGGGGGAGCGGGGCTGCGGATTGAGCGCACAGACCCGGGCCCAGCCGGGCTGGTTCCACGAGCCGGAGGGCAGGGAGCGGCCCGGCCCGGCCCATGCCTGCAGGGTGGAGCTGGGCCTGGGTTACAGCGTTCAGAGCAGGAACCGAACTGCCCCCGCGCCCTGGGTATCACGTACAGGGCTCGGACTCAAATGGGGCCCCGATCCTGCAGCCAGCTCCCCGTGTGTGCTCATGCTATTCCAATAGTGGGGTGTTTTCAAATTAGATATTTGAGCATGAACTCTCCTCACCCTTGTCCTGGCCCTGGAGGTCCAGGGGACTCAGACACTTGCAGGGGTGGCCAAACTGGCTCACGAGCCACATATGGCTCCTTTAAGTGTGGCTCACAGAGCCCCATCCCACTGCTCCCTATTCGCCACCTACCAGACTGGGGCAGGGGGAGCTCATCCTGTGAGGATGGGGGGGGGGTCTTGGGGCTTCAGCCCCATGGCAGGCACCTGCTGGGGCTCGGGGCTTCAGCAGAAGTGGGGCTGAAGCCCCAAACCCCAGCAGGTGTGCGCCCCATGTGGCTGAAGTCCCGAGCCGTGGCAGGTGCACCCGGCTCTCGAGCTTCTGAAGATTATTGTATGTGGCTCGGAGGGTCAGTGAGTTTGGCCACCCCTGTACTATAGTAATGGGGACACTAGAGAACCTGAATAGAACAAAGGGTTTAACTCTCTGCTCCATAAATATATTATGCTAAATCTAAGTGGGGTCCTAATTATTCCCCCCCACCCCATTCCCTTCATTTTGGGGTTACCACTTTAGTTTCTTCCTACTCCTAATTCCTGGTCCCTCCTCTCTCTTCCTTCTCATAGGTTTGCTCAGGCTATTCTGCAGCTGGTGGGGTTGCTGGATTTGGTGGCCATTTGACTGGATAAGCCTGTCCCCTGTAGGTTTATCATCTCAACCGATTGTTCTGCTTCTGCAATCCCTTATCTCACCATCAAAATATTTAGCTGTCATTTAAGTTTATTTCTACTGTTTGCTTCAGTGGCCTCAGGCAATTTATTCCAGATGTGTCTTGTTCTGTATATAATCGGCAACCTGTTTAATGTTACTTTCCTGATTTTCAGAAAGCAGGTGGTTTTGGAAACCCCTTCTAGTCTGGCTCTGTCTTATATCGAACCCTTTCATAATTCTGAATACCCAGGTAAGGTCACTTTGAAGTCCCTCTGCTTCTTCACATTCAAATAGGACCCCTATCTCAAGACTTCTCTTTTAAACCATGCATTCAGCCTGAACGCTCTACCTTGGGGCCAGCTGTGGAGCAGTAACATCTAGAAGGGCATGTTTCCAAATACCAGGTCCAAAATAGGTTTTGATTCTGTTGTCTATTCAACAAACTGTCTAATGAAGCAGTCTTGCACAATGCTGCCCCCTCTATCTGCATGTTCCTCTCAAGATTGGTGCAATTGTTATCTAAATAGATATGAATAATTAACAGAGGCCACCCTGCCATCTATGATCAATCATCTGGCTTTTCTGTTTTCACAGGCTTCTTTTTACCTGTAATTTTCCTGCGCTTGTCTCCTTGAAGTGCTTAGGCACAACAGTGATGAATTGCACTTCAGTCTGTGCTGTGTCCAAGGAATCTCTCTGTCATTTAGCTACCCCGATTCAGGGCCCAATCATGAAAGGTAAGATGATCTGCAAAGAAAAAAAATACTTTCCCCCTTCTTTGTCATGTATAAAAAGTCTGAAAGATTTTTCTTTTCCTCCCTACTTTTTACCTTAGAAATATCAGTAATGTCAAATCTAGTTTTCCTTGCGGTTTTTTTGTTTTTTGTTTTTTCTGAGAACTCACTGACTATCCTAAATGGGTGTGGGGAGTTTTCTCAGCCCTGTGAAGGGTCAGACAACCGAGTCTGTAATAAATGGATTTTCTGACTGCTTATCAAGTGTGTGAGTTCAATAGGTGTTAGTAAAAACAGGCGAATAAAAATCACTTCCTCCCTCATTTAACAGGTTTCACTTATTTGGTACCTGAGATATCATAGTCCTACTAGTTCTCTGGTTTTCCATAGAGACATCCATGTTAAAAAGGGTATACAGGACATGGATGTCTAATGTGAAAAACATTCAGGAAAAAAAACCCACCTTAGCAACGATTCAGGGAATTGACATCGCCCATGGCTGCTTACATTTAGGGTTGAGCTTGGGGAAGGCCGTGAGATCTGCCACTATTGGCCCAAAACACTGAATTAAAAAAATAGTCTCAGGGACTGAAAAATCCTTTTACCAATAATTCTGTGGAAATGGACATCAGGGGAGATCCTGGCAAAGGCGGCCAGATGACATTCCTGACAGAGAAAAGACTCAGGGTCAGGTTGTTAGCTGGTGTAAAGCTAGCTAATTATTGAATTCAGTGGAGCTCTGCAGATTTACACCATCTGAGAATCTGGCCCTCAGAATCAGAAGTTTCTGGCTAACGGGGGCAAAATACACTATTGTGTGCTTATGTTCAGCCTGATACAAATAGGTATTACAGGCGAAAGGTCTTTTTTCCAAAAAAGAATTCAACTAGATGTTTTGAAATATCAAATGGAAGTCAACGTAGCTCAGAAAAACAAAGACTTTACCTTTCCAGGTTTTGCATTTATAACAATAATCCACACTCTGGATTTATATAATCCCTTTCAGCCAAGGATTTGAAAGCCCTATAAAAACTAAAACTCACACCTAGATGATTATCCCAATTCTACCAATGGAGAAACTCAGGCACAGGAACTTGTTTATTCAAGGCCTAAATCCCATTTTTAAAAGTGAGTTATGCCCATAGGACCCTAAATCTCATTAAAAGTCAGTAGGATTTGGGCTCCTCAATACCTAAGGGCCAGCTCCTCAAAGATATTTAGGAACCTGACTCCCCACTGATTTCAATTGGGAGTTAGACGCCTAAATACCTTTGATTGAGGATCTGGGCCTAAGTCACTTTTGGAAATAGGATTTAGGCTCCTAAATTCACTTAGGTACTTTTGAAAACTTTAACCTGAATCTCCTGCTCTAAAAATTTCCACGGGGTCTCCATGTTCCTATATCAACTTAATACCATCAGAGCTCTGTCTGGTAACAGCATTTCAGATGCCTGTAGAGTGAGATCTCTGAGCAGAGGCACCTATATACAGCTTCCATGCTTTGTACTTAGGTCCGCTTCTACTCCCCCAGGCATTTTGCCATGGCAAAATATCAAGACAAGAGCTGCAGGTTTTGGAAAGGCCCCATCCACTCTGTAAACTAGCAGCCTGACAACCACCAAACACTTCAATAGAAACCCAAACATTGAATAGGCAGGTGGTGCTACTGGGCAGGATTGGGAGCAGCTTGCATAGCATGATACCTGCCACCATTATACATAACCACCCATTGAAGTGTATTTTAAAAATATAGAAAAAGGGCATTTAGCAGATTGAATATACTGTGTGAATGATGGCTTAGCAAAGCCATGGGAGATTTGAGAGGATTCCCTGTCCATAAGATGACTTTTACTTTTCAGATACTTTTCAGACACTTAAATAGCACCTTTCATCTGAGGCTCTTAAAGCACTTTCCAAAGGTGGGTATTCAGAGCTGCATTTTTACAGATGGGGAAACGGAGGCACAAAGCAGTTATGCCAACATCTTAAAAAACAGCCTGTGATTTGGGATGGGGCTCCATTTCTGGTTCCCTAGCCTGAGACTTTTGGGGCCTGATTTTTAAACGGGCTGAGTACCCATAGCTCCCATTGACTTTCAGTTTGTATATGAGGTTGTCAGTGCCTCTGAAAACCAGGATCCGAGGCCTTTCAATCTGGGTTCCCAAAATCTGAGGAACACAAAATCAGAGGCCAGTTTTGAAAACATGGGCAAGGTTACAGAGAAAGAGGAGCTCAGATCTCCTAGCTCCCAGTCTAGTGTTGGAATGTGACCGGTCAGCTTTTTGGAAAATTATCTCTCAAAATTGCAAGAAGAATGAAGAGTTAAGTACAATTCTTGATCATCTGGGAAGCATTTCCAAGACCTGAATTTTCTCTCCTTCCCTGAGGAGAGGCTGAAATACAGAACTGACTGTAGAATAGTGACATCTGCTGGCCAATACTGGGGGCATTTCCCCTCTGCTGGTGAAACATTTCTATGGTTCTCTCATAGAAAATAAACAGAAACAGACAGGCACAAGCGCTAAAAATGGCATCTTGCTCACACTGCCACGTCAGGGCTCCTGACAGATTCACATCATGCAGGCTGGTGCCACTTGCTCTATTGTAGTCTAAGTGATATGTTAACGTGTGAAGATTAAGCAGGCTTTTCAAACAGGCTTTTAAATGTATGAGACAGTCCTTCATTTTGCTAGCACCTTTTACTTTTTGCATGCCACCAGTTTAATCCATCTGTTTTTAATCTGATACGTTGCTGCACATTCATGCTTCCCAAATGCAAAGTATTTGGCCAAGAGCTGGGCTGCTTCTCTTCCATGGGGACCCTTTTCTAAGGAGATTATTTTGATAAATATTTGTATTCAGTGTGCTCCAGCCCCAAATTCCTCAAGGGAAATATATTGGTGTTCTAAGCAACAAATCTGGAGACTCCAAGGATCCACAGCATCAAATCCTGGCCCTTTATCCTTCCAAAGTAGAGAAACCGAGTCCTGTACAATTTACCAAGGAATTTTTTTTTTAATTAAAAAGAAGACATTACAGATTCTGTGGCTCCTCTGGAAGAGCAGGGGGTGGTTCCCAACGGCCCTCGCCAATATTTCTTCTTGCTCCTTTTGTTCTTGTGTGCTGGGTTGTTGCCATGTCCCCCCACATCTTCCTCCCCAC